GGTATGATTGTAAATCAGCCTTTATGGGAGATAACATACTCAAATTTTTCACTATGGCAAAATGGGGGATTGGTGCCCAAACCCCTATGTTGTTCAAGGTTCAACTGTGTTGCTAATGCAAGAAAGCATTCCATTACATGGATGTACCCAAACTAATTTATCCACTTTTGAAAATATTTCTGTATTGATATGCACTTCCCAATTCTTTTGTATTCTGAACAATGATATAATCATTATCTTTTAGTGTACATTTTGTCTGGTTATTTCTTGAGAATAGCTGGATTTGGATTGATGGGTAAAATGCAAACATGCGTGTTTAAGGTTATAAAAAATTAAAAAGCTGAACTGTCAGCCAGTGAGGTTTTTATTAGTTTATGATCCCAAGAATAACCCGTGTGTCACCTGGCTCACACCCAGGCCCACACTGTGAATTAGCATGCCTTTCCATCTTTGCTGGATCAGGAGGTGGGCCAAGTGAAAATGGTGTCACATTTCTAGCTTATTAGAAATTCTGGGGTTACTGGTAAAGGTGAACTTTCTTTTTGTATGTCCAGCTGGACTCGTGATGCTGTTTTCTAGAGAGATGGTTTCTGTGCTGCAGGGGGGCCCGTCTGTGAGAAGATGGGGCCTTACCATTGCCGTCCTCTCCTACTGCCCCATACCTCACACAGAGGCCCCAGGACAGAGAGAGGGAGGGCTCTCATGTTTATGCCATGTGGGGACAGTGCAATGAAAAATGGCCACAGAAGAAAAGAACTTGCTCTCATCATACACAGTGAAGAATGGGAAGTTGTTCTAGAGACAGAAAACTGTTAACTACAAGAGGAAGCTGAGAAGGTCTCCTATGAGAAATGGACAAGGACACAATTCACACAGCCTAGAGACAGAGGGACAGGTCCAGAGACACAGGCAGAGCAGGACATGGCTGACAATGAGGCAGCAGAACTGAGGAAGAGTCTTTAACCAGAAGCTCCCAGGAGCAGCACAGTCTGTGGTTGTGTCACTATTAGCCCTGTGATTTGGGACAGTTTAGCTCACTCTGCTAAGCCTTATCTTCCTGTTCTATAAAATGGGCTAACAACACTAGTACATCATGGCAATGTTGCGGGAACTGAGAACTGTGTAAGCCACTGTCTTACTATATTTAAAGTCTCAACAAACTTTCCTTCTCAGAAACTCTATCTCATGGTGAAAGGAGCTGCTATTCTTTGAAAGGTCATCTAGTTAATGCAAATTTCAACTCAGGGCTCTTGTCACATTGCAGTGCTTCCTTTGCAGTGGTTCTCAACCTTGGGTCGCAACCCCTTTGGAGATCGAACGACCCTTTCACAGAACACATATATAATTACATAATGTTTTTGTGATTAATCCCGATGCTTTAATTATGTTCAATTTGTAACAATGAAATTGGGGGTCACCACAACATGAGGAACTGTATTAAAGCATCGCGGCATTAGGAAGGTTGAGAACCACTGCTCTAAACTGACTGTAAAGATCAGTCCCAAGTTGGTTCATTTTTTCCTTCCCCTCAGTGCCTCATCTTGAGAACCGCTGCAGCTGACTGTGATGTCCCCAAGAATGACCTATTTCCAAGTTGTCCTGTTGTCCCATGCATATACTGCCAACTCCTCCCTGACAAATGAGCCAATAATACACAGTTGGGAAAGGATAGTTTCTCTTCAATGAACAGTGCTGGGAAAACTAGATACTCACATCCAAAGAATGAAATAAGACCCTTGTCTTAATTCAATTGTTTATTTTATTTTTTTCCAATATGAAAAACACTTATCCTACAAAGCAAAAAAGACACAAAATGAGTGAAATTCTAACCTGCATTTTTGTTTCACTGTCCGTTTGTTAAAGAAACTTGCCAAAATTCATTGATTTGGCAGAACATATGCTCAGACATTTAACCAAATATAGAGATAGCAAATGCACATCTGAAAAATGGCTCACCATTAAGCCTTAGAAAAAATGCAACCAAATAAACAGTGATATAGCATGACAAAGTTACAAAAAAGTTTAAATAAAGGACTGACCAAACCTCTTCTAGGATGTGGAGGAATTAACTCTGTCATACACTGCTGGAAGAATGCAAAAACGTACAAGTGGCTTAAATCACAACTTCCTAATTTCTTTAAGTTAAACATTCTCCTCTCCTCTGACTTGGACATCATATTATGAGTTATTGATAAAAATAAATGAAACCTATCTCCATTTTAAGAATTATGCACAATCCCTATTAGGCCAGTGATTATGTAGTAATTATGCTTTACCCTAAACCCTACTATCCTATACCCAAGTGACCATCACCCATGGAATTACAGACATTAGGAAACATGGCCCTTTGCAAGATCTTTTTAAATAATTCCTTCCAAACGTATATGCACACCTGTAAAGTCTCTGATGACAACGAAAGTACTGGTTCTGGCAAAATATTTTCCACATTCACTGCAATCCTGAGCCCTTTCTCCTGTGAACTGTCTGATGAAGATGCAACTGATTGTTAAGGCCTTTCTCCAGTGTGAAGTCTCTGATGACCACGGAGGCTCCTCCTACAGGTAAAAGATTTCCCACACTGACTGCACTCATAAGGCCTTTCTCCGGTGTGCATTCTCTGATGAGAACGGAGGTTATCCTTACTGGTAAAAGATTTCCCACACTGACTGCACTCATAAGGCCTTTCTCCGGTGTGCATTCTCTGATGAGAACGGAGGCTACCCTTACTGGTAAAAGATTTCCCACACTGACTGCACTTATAAGGCCTTTCTCCAGTGTGAAGACTCTGATGACAACGGAGGCTCCTCCTACTTGTAAAAGATTTCCCACACTGACTGCACTCATAAGGCCTTTCTCCGGTGTGCATTCTCTGATGACGACTGAAGCTCCTCCTATGGGTAAAAGATTTCCCACACTGACTGCACTCATAAGGCCTTTCTCCAGTGTGAATTCTCTGATGACAATGGAGGTTACTCTTACAGGTAAAAGATTTTCCACACTGACTGCACTCATAAGGCCTTTCTCCAGTGTGAAATTTCTGATGATAACTCAACTCACAGTTCCTGACAAAAGATTTCCCACATTCACTGCACTCATAAAGCCTTTCTCCAGTGTGAATTCTCTGGTGACAATGGAGCATAGTCTTACTGGTAAAAGATTTACCACACTGACTGCACTCATAAGGCTTTTTTCCACTGTGAAGTCTCTGATGATAACTGAGCCCTATGCGAGTGGTAAAAGATTTCCCACACAGACTGCACTTATAAGCTCTTTCTCCAGTGTGACATTTCTGATGATAACTCAGCTGATCAATCCTGACAAAAGATTTCCCACATTCATTGCACTTATAAGGCTTTTCCACAGTGTGAAGACTCTGATGATAACGGAGGCCCTCACTAGTGGTTAAAGACTTCCCACACTGAATGCACTTATAAGACCTTTCTCCAGTGTGAAGTTTCTGATGATAACGAAGATCAGAGATTCTGGCAAAACGTTTTCCACATTCACCACACTCATATGGCTTTTCTCCAGTGTGAACTTTCTGGTGTTGAATGAGGTTTGAACTTTGTCTAAAGGATTTCCCACAGTCAACACATTCATATGGCCTTTCTCCAGTGTGAACTCTCTGGTGTTCCACGAGCTTTGAACGGGGGCTAAAGAATTTCCCACATTCGCCACACTCATGACGCTTTTCTTTAGAATGAAGTCGCTGGTGACGAATAAGGGTGGAGTGTTGTTTATAGCATTTCCCGCATTCACTGCACTCGTATGGACTTTCTCCTGTGTGCAATTTCTGATGATGATGGAGATCAGAGATTTTTGTAAAAAATTTTTCACATTTACAGCACACAAAACACTGTAGTCCATTACAGACACCATGGTCCTGAGCAAGCGTCTGGTTGCATCCAATGGCTTTCTTGCTTAAATAAAACTGCTTTGCACATGCCCCACACTTCAATAGTTTCAGGCTGTGTTGTGTTCCCTGCTGCTCAACCAAGTGGAAAATGTCTCTCAGGACTGGCCCACAACACTCACAGGGGTGGCTCTTCTGGGAGGACACAGCTCCATTGGGGTTCTTTGCCTGTGACACTGTCCCAGAAACATGCTGTTCAGTAGGTGCCTCCACATCCTCTGCTCCACAGCAGCAACCTAGAGAGGATATGAGTTCAAAGTTCTCCAGCATCACTTCGAGGAACAGGTGTCTCTGAGCCTCATCAAGGAGGCACCATTCCTCCTTAGAGAAGTGCACAGCAACATCCTCAAAAGTAACACGAACATCAGCTGGGGGCCTCTGTGGGTTGAACGTGGTGAGGATGGCAGGAGAGGAGGCAGCCAGGGGCACAGTGGTCACTGTTCCAGGTGCAGAACTCGTCACCAGGGAGGCTGGTTGGTGGGGACCAGGACTCTTGCGCCTTCTCATTTTCGCATCTCCACCAAGACCTAGTGCTCAGGATGCTCTGACCCACTTAGGTGATCCTGAGAGAAGAGGAAATGCCCATCACAAAGAGAAAACTGGAAGTCAACTATTGACTTTATTAATACCTAGGCATATGCACTTGACAGGAGTCAAACCTAGGATCCTTCAGTCCACAGGCCAACACTCTTTTACTGAGCCCAACTAGCTAGGGCCAATTATTGACTTTAAAAAGGGCAAACAACTGCCCTAACTGGTTTGGCTCAGTGGATAGAGCATTGGTCTGCGGCCTGAAGGGTTCCAGGCTCGATTCTATTTAAGGGCATATTCCGTGGTTTTGGGCACATCCCCAGTAGGGTGTGTTCCAGAGGCAGCTGATTGATGTTTCTCTCTCATCAATGTTTCTAACTCTCTATCCCACTCTCTTCCTCTATGTAAAAAATCAATAAAATGTATTTTTTTTTAAAAAGGGCAAACAACTGCACTGGAAAGCACTTGTATGAGCAAGTGTAGCGTAAAAACAGTTCATCCATGTCCTAAAGTATACTTGTTGCTTGGGTTTTGAAATAATTTGGATGAGATAAACAACTCATGTGTTTGGGTATAGAAATACAAGAGAATTGCTACTGATTTCAGATGAAACAGTGCCTGGAGAAGATGGACCTTCTCACAAAAGTAACTACAGAGAGACATAAAATTAGTTTGAGAGAAACATATTTTTTTCTAGGATAAAAGTTTTTGAAATGGATAAAAAAGAAGCAGTAACAAAAAAGACATTCATAACATTAAAGAAACACTAACTGTAAGGGAAAACCACCAAAGTAAAAATGAAAATTAAATATATCATGTTTAGCTAAAAGTAAAAATCTGAAATTGATGAGTTCAACAGTGGCCAGAATTGGCAGATCTCAGGAAGGCCCATGGATCCACATGTCCCCATTTCCTCTGGCTCTTAGTGCAACATCTGTCAGCTGTCAGAGCACTGGCTCACTCCAAAAGACTTCCCCGAGCCTCAGCAACAGATGAAGAGAAACCGTTACCATGGCAATGGAGATAATTTTGTGACAACACAAAGTCCTATCCTACCTAGAGAAGCTAAGACTCTGAGAGAATTCTTGCTCTAGATGTCCCCCATCTCCAGAGCAGAGAGACCTATACGAACCATGACATAATTGAAGGGGTTTTTTCCTCACATACCTTCCCACATTTATTGTCAACAGCCTCCTTCCAAATGTAGACTTATTGTCTGCACAAAATGGTAGTGCTTAATATGGAAAGTAAAACTCTGGAAACTTAATTTTGAAAAAAAATACTAAGGGATAGGTATATGGGAACACCCATTGGCACATCCTCAACAGGAAGAGAAAGAACTTCAGAGGGAAGCGGAATGGTAAGGGTAAGAGTAAAGGTAAGGGGAAGGGGAAGGGATATTGATGTGAGAGAGAAATATTGATTGGTTGCCCTCTGTACACACCCCATCTGGGGATTGAACCCACAGACTACTTTTGGGGCACAGGATGACACTCTAACCCAGCAGTCGCCAACCTTTCTGACCTCACGGACCACCAGTAGTCCATGGACCACTGGTTGGCAACTGCTGCTCTAACCAGTTGAGCCACCTGGACAGGGCCTACAGTATAATGTTAAAAAAAAGAATACACTTTTCACTTTGAAATAGTTCAAGGTATACAAGACATTGCAAAAATAGTATAGAGAGTTCCCTGGGCGTTTATACAGTTTCTCCAGAGGTGATCATTCCCACCATCAGGAAGCACGCTAGTTACATCACCAACAAGAAATTCCGGAGGAGAAACCAAGATGTCAGCATATGTAAACACCGGAAATTGCTGCCTCATGTAGCCACTTCAAAAATTCAACTAAAAGATAAAGCGGATATCATCCAGAAGCACAGAAAGGCTGGCTGACTGGAAATTCTACAACTGGAAGAAAGAGAAAAGCACATTGAGACTCAGAGGAGGTGTGAAAGTAAAGTGCAGAGGTACTGAGGCACACGCAGAAAGGGCTGGCAGCTGAGGACACAGTTGTCTTTTCAATTGGGAGGGAGTCTCAAGCCCCCGACTGCTCTGAACTACAGTTCCGGGTGAGTCTCAGGGGACCCTGACTCATACGGGGAGAAACTGGACTGTCTGGCACCGGGCAGATCTCGAGGGCTACTTTCTTTCAGAGGTGCTTGCAGCAATTACCTGGACACTGAGACATGGGGCCTCTTAGGGTAGGACTGGGGAGTAGTCATAGCTGCTTGCTCTGCCCTGTTGATCCCGAGACAATGTACTGGGCTGCATATCAGGGCGCACTGTGCTGTCTGTTCCTGGAACAGACAGATAGGAAGGTACTGACATCAGGTCTGGCCTTGAGATATGGTCTCATGGTCCCTCCTCAATATATACTGTGCTCTCTGTTCCCGGAAAACATAGATAGGAAGGTGATAATGCTATACTGTGTCGGGAACAAATTGTGTAAGCATGGCTTTGTAACTTTTTGCAAATAAATTGCTATAACTCTTGCAGTCAGCTGCTGCAGTTCAAAGCAAAGGCTGAACTGCAGACAGCTGGCCAGCTTAATAAAGGTTCCTAAATTTAAATTCTGAGTCGGTGGTCTATCTCCCTGAGTCAACCCATAACAACCCCATGCCACCCAAGCTGTTGCAGAGGCTTCTGCATATGAAAGGCCTGTCCCTTTGCAACCTGAAAATTACCTAACAAACTGCAGCTGAATCAGAGCAACCCAGAACATTCAAAAGAAGGCCCAATGCCCCACAGCAGCTTGCACTGCTTCACAACTGGGCCTCATCTGCGAACTTCCAAACCCAAACAAAGAAGAGGAATCTCTCCATAGCTCCCGCTGGGTAGCCTCAGGCAGAGGCTAGATTAGCACCTCCTTAGGGATCCAAGAGCCAGTGTACCCAGTGGTCAGTTTGGGACCATCCAGATTGTGGATCCTCAGATCCATGGGGGACACGTTCAGAGGGCGGACTCAGTGAGCACCAGGACCCTGCTGAGGTGGGTTCTGCCCCAGAGGGGTGTCTCCAGCTCGGGGCTTCTCTCATTGGAGACAGGGCTGATTCTCGTAGCCAATTGGCCTGGGGGTCGGTTCCTCCCAGTGATGCCTGCAACAGTCTAGGCCTGACTACAACAAGACTGTGCACAAAGCCCACAAAGGGATGCACCAAGAGTGTCCTCCTCAGGTAATTGGGGAGACTGAGCCACTGGGCCCTATAGGACACCTAACAGAGAAAGCAACTCGGTCAATACAGGGAAGCATAAAAAATGTGGAGATAAAGAAACAGGTCACAAATGACAGAAATGGAGGAGAGCAAACTACTGGATATAGAGTTCAAAACCACACTTTTAAGGTTTTTCAAGAATTTTTTAGAAACCCGATAAATTTAGTGAGACCCTAAGGAAATCTAGAGAGACCCTCCAGGTTATGAAAAATAATCAATTAACACTTGGAGTGCGGGAAACGAGTTAAGTCGGCTCGCGTGAATTGCGCGTACTCCGCGGGAGCCGTCTTAAAAATTAAGCATACACTGATCGAAATAAAGGATATTATGCAGAGTTCCAAGAGCAGACTAGAGGATCGCAAGAATCAAGTCAAAGATTTGAAACACGAAGAAGCAAAAAAAACACCCAACCAGAAAAGCAAAATGAAAACAGAATTCAAAAATACGCTGATAGTGTAAGGAGCCTCTGGGACAACCTCAAGCACACCAACATCAGAATTATAGGGGTGCCAGAAGAAGAGAGAGAGCGAGATATCAAAAACCTATTTGAAGAAACAATGACAGAAAACTTCCCCTACCTGGTTAAAGAAATAGACTTACAAGGCCAGGAAGCGCAGAGAACCCCAAACAAAAGGAATCCAAAGAGGATCACACCAAGACACAGCATAATGAAAATGCCAAGAGCAAAAAAACAAATTTTCAAAGTGATGAATCGCAAGAACCTACAACCAAGATTACTATACCCAGCAAAGCTATCATTCAGAACTGAAGGTCAGATAAAGAGCTTCACAGATAAGAAAAAGCTAAAGGAGTTCATCACCACCAAACCAGTATTATATGAAATGCTGAAAGGTATCCTTTCAGAAGAGGAAGAATAAAAAGGTAAAGATACAAATTATGAACAACAAATACACATCTATCAACAAGTGAATCTAAAAATTAAGTGAATAAATAATCTGATGAACAGAATAAACTGGTGAATAAAATATAATCAGGGGCATAGAAAGGGAGTGCACTGACTATTCTCGGGGGGGGGGGGGGTGGTGGTGGTGCAGGAAGAGACTGGACAAAAATCGTGCACCTATGGATGAGAACAGTGGGTGGCGGGAGTAAGGGCAGAGGGTGGGGTGGGAACTGCGTGGAGGGGAGCTATGGGGGGAAAAAAGAGGAACAACTAATAATCTGAACAATGAAGATTAAAAAAAATATATAATGGGAACAAAAAAAAAGAAAGAAAGAACTTCACATGTGCACTAACTCAGACTACAAACTCCACCATTAAGAGTGGGACTGACTCTACCCAGTTTTCCTGGGGCTGCTCTGGAATGCTAGTCTGCCTCCTGGGAAAGCTCCCTGTCCTTAGAAAACTGCCAGTGGAGCTGCACAGGTCTCAGTGAGGACCAGGTAAAGTAACTGGATAAACTGCAGACGAAAAAAAAAGTAGGTTCAGGCAGTAACTCGGTTCTACCAGCTCCATGGGATGGTAATTTCCATTAAACTAAGTGGTGACAACAGAAATCTGAGAATGATGAGGAGAGCCCAGCTGGAGAGATCCAAGCTTCAGGCAGGGAAATCGAGACATCTTCATGCCCAGGATGTGATTTTCTCAGGAGGGAGGTCATCCTGACAGGTGGGAGGGAGCAGAGGCCACTGTTACATATTCCTCTACTCGGGCCTGGACATATTTCTGAGTCTAACATCTGAAGTATGGTCTAGAACTCACCTGAGGAGTGTCTCGTGGATCTTCTTGGGGAAGAAGAGCAGCTGGAGCTCAGTTACCTTGAAGGAAGCACAGAGAAAAATATTAACCTGAATACTTCTTCCAAATTAGAACAAAGGAAATGTATTTATTGCATGAAAAGGTCTATTTCTTTGTCCTCTTACTCACTGCAGTAATTTCAACTGTATACTGTGACATCTTTTTTAAAATTTTAATACTAGTCGCCTGGTGTACGAAATTCGAGCACATTAAAAGGGAATTAATTACAGGAAATATTTTATATTACTATTTGCCCTTTCTCTATAATTGAAGTGTCAGAGATGAAAGAAAATTAGTAAAATGTATATGAAAATCTTCCTCTTGTCAGTATGGGGTGTGCCGTGGACTCAGAGTCAATCCCAGCCCACCGCT